TATTATATACTGCTCAGCAATTTTATTTTTACTTAACGTTTTATTGAAGACAACCTTTTATACCAACTTATATGAAACCTATATGAAACTCATTGGTTAACAACATAGTATTTTGATTTGGGATATAGAATCATTTATATTTAATAAATTCCTTCTTGGAGGATGTTTAGGTTGAGGAGAGTGCTACTTAATATACCAGGTTATAGTTCAAAAAGAAATGCCTACCCCATAAAAATCGCTCACCCATATCAACTTTTTTATTTGGGGACGATTTACCCATCTCTCAGAATGATACAGAGTTCTTCAATTTCCCCTCTAATGTTTTTTTCTACCAGTTACTGGACTGTGGAGCTGGACGTTGACACAAGCCTACGCCGTCACCCTTAGGACAAGAAGTCTGTTTCCTTCTACAGAAACCAGGCTACACCCTGCCACCCTAGGGCCCCCGCCTGGAACTTGTGAGCACCCGACCACCACTCCCCTGCTGTTCCTTACAGCCCAGGCTTCCCCTGCCTGAAACCCCAACACCCAACCAGACGCATAGGACAGGCGAGGACAGAAACAGCAGCAGGATGAGTCAACCTTGTGCCTAGAGCACAGAGCTCAGGCATAGCTCATTACTCAGAGAGCGAGGCAGCCTGCTGCAGAACGAGACAAGCCCAAGGCTAATGCCAGGGCAGAGACCTGTGGAGGACTTATGCACGTCCTCAGCCCCTAGTCTGACTTCATTCTTTCTGCAGTAAGATTGCCAGGAACCAGAGAAGCCAATTAGAACCCAGTTCTAATTACTTTTCAGTAACAATGAACCTCACACAAAGGGCTTTTATAAACCTTGCCATACTAGATACGCGCTCTATCCTGTCAAAGGGGGGTTATTAGTCCCATCTGACAGTTGAAGAAACTGAGTCACAGAGGGCAGAGTTTGTAAGGGTCAAGGCACGGTTTGAACCCTGGTCTGCTTCACACCAGTTCAGACGTCTTCCTTCTGCCTCAAGTCTGACAGAAGAGAAGAAGGGCTGCACTTCCTGGGACTAGGCCACCCCAGCCTCCCTGGACCCAGCAGGACTCCCCAGGTGGCAGATCCTCTGGGAACCTGATCAAGTCCCTCTAGAGGGCGTGCACCCTCCCCTGGTGCAATTCTGTTAAAATTACCCCCCAGTGGTGTGTCGTCATGGCACCCCCTGACATCCCATTAAGTGGATAGAATCCAACACAGAAACCAGGTGCGGGAGGAAACAAAGCCGCGTCCCCCGACCTGTCTACTCTGAGACGAACGAACGAAGGGGCTGGGGGCAGGGAAGAACTCAAGGCTGGAGGGAGAAAGAGGCCATTCGGCGCACTTTCCCTGTGCACGTTCTCATGGTCTCTCTGGGCTGTGAAGTGATGAGGCGCTTACTGCTCCATGGAAGCAAACAAACAAAAAACCTTCAAAACGGTGGCCACCATTTAACATCCCACTGTCCCCAGGCTCCAACACAAACAGCAGACAAAGTACTCTCACAAGGAAGGCACCTGGTTTCACACTTGTAGAGAATGCCAGGGTCACCGCCCTCAGTCTACGTCTCCAGTCAAAAGGGCACCGTCAGCACCGGTCAGTCTCTGGAACAAGGAAGTCACTGGGTGACTCAAACCCCTATGATCTGGAAGTTTCTGGTAGTGAAATTTGCCCATCTACTGGCCTCAGAAGTCTTAACCAGGGTCTTAGGGGTTGGTTGTACGTAACTGAACCTGTAGCTTCAGTGAGGTGTTTTCAGGTGAAAAAACAAATGGACTCGCTTTTTAATAGCATATTCTAATGTGAAACCAGAAAGACAGCAAATGCAGGCCCTGCTAAGCTGAGTAGCTGCGTGAGCTGGATTGAAACCGGAGAACATGCCCCTTCAAAATGGCGCCTTGGCTAATTGGGCCAGACTCTTCCTATGCGGGGACAGAGTTCTATAAATAAAAGCGTCCTATTAACGCACAATGGCTGGTCCATTCTCTAGCTTCCAACGCGACGCCATCGTCCTAACCCCTGCACAAAAGCAGCGCAGCGTCAGTGTGTCTGCCCACTGGCCCGTGAAGGGGGCGGGCTGGGGACGCGGCACAAAAGCCTCACCACAAAGACGTCAGCCCACATCCCCGTCAGCCGAGGCACTCAGGTGAAATAACAAGCCACAGTGTCCTCGCCCCCTTTCACATTTGAGTGTAAAAACAGACCAGGACCTCGCACACGCTGCGCACAGTTTCTAGACAGGCGTATAGTGTTACTGTTTGCAGCTCTCCGTGAGCCTCCTTGGGTTACCATACATATTAATACACATTCCAGCATCTGAAGAAGGGAAAATGTGGGGTGTTTGGTGATTGTTTTTAATTGATTTCATCTGGGAATTTTAAATCCTGAAAATTTAGCTCCTGTTGACAGTATTTTAAGGTTTGAACGGCATAAGATTCTGTCCTTTGGAATGGCAAATCTCCCTGTCCCTTCAAGAGAAAGTTTCTGCAGCGTGTGATGCATTTCAAAGCCAACTGCAAAAATCATTAAATCCCCAAATGAGGGAATGGGATGGTGGTGACAATGCGCGACTCTTTGCATTCCTCTGACGGCACTCGAGTCCTCACGGATTCCTACTCAGGAAAAGGAGCGCCATGTCTCCGTAAAGAAGACGCCAGAGCCCTAGCTCAATGTGCCAGGACGACGGGGAGCCCGGGAAGGAAGGGTAGTTGCGTGGAAGAATTCTGTGGGCACGAGAAACTACATCTTGCTTCCTGGCCCCTTGGCAAGCCACTCTGACGACAAGCGGGTCTCTGCAGTGAGCACATGCACCACCATCTCTGCCACAAGACGTTGCTTTCACAGGGGGCTTGAAAAGTCTCCAGTCTGTCCTCTAAAGCCCTGTGGGATCTGCCAACACTGGCCAGTCAAGCACCAGATGCCCCAGGTCCCCCTTCCAGCCAATCGAAATGGAATTTATTCTCATAGAGAAACCCAGCGAGCTCACATCCGAAGGGTCTGAGCAGGAGTCAAGAAAACCTTGGTGGGAGCCTCCGCCATCTGGGTTTCTTGGATCTACCGCACCCTTCAACCTCCTGCATCCTCTGGACTGTCGTACACAAGGGTTCAGGTTATGCCCTGCACAAGGGTGCCAAGGCCTGTGCTCCATCACACGACGGCCATATGAGACGGCATGGGCAGGTGTAGAGATTCTGAGCTTTCCAGCAAGTCCTTAAGCAGGGACACACATGGGCACACATGTGGACACACACAGGGACATGGAAGTTGGCAAACTCACTGGCATGCAGCAACCCGTCCCTGCCCCAAGCATGCTCTTGGCATCTTCGAGATCTTGTCTCTTACCTGCCCCCACTCTCGGGGTCTCAGTTCCCCCCAGCACAAGGCCCAAACCTGACACAGCTGCCTCCCTTGGGAGGTGTCGGGGGAGCATGGGATGCACGTGTTGCAACCGTGTGTGCACCTGGGCCTCCGGCAGGTGCAGGTGTGCTCGCAGTAGCTGCTGCCCTCCCAGGAGCAAAGCTGTGCCATCATGCAATGATGGACTAACTTTTTTTTTTTACTTGAAGACAAAGGCTTTCTTCCTAATCCATAGCCCTGTGAGTTCTGTTTCCCCTGCCCTTTCCATTCCATGGCTTCTACACAGGCCCTTTATTTCTCCTGAGGCCCCAAACTCAGACTTGGATCTGGAACACTCTAAATCTGTTCCCTCTAGGAACCAAAATCATATCCTGCGGTTGGCTGGCTGGCTTTTGTTTCGCTTCCCTCTCTCTCTTCCCACCTTTGGAAGCTGGCCTCTCTTTCTTCCTGGCCTTAGTTAACCTTCTCTGTGTTTCATAGGCTTCGTCCTTTCAAGGCTTGGAGAGATGGTAGACACTGTTCCCTCACGTGAAGATGGGGAAACCAAGATGCCCCGGCCTGTAGGTGACAAACTGAGGCTTCCAGACTCCACAGCCAGCACCCTCTCCATTTCACTGCACGGTTCCTCCCCACCACCCCCAGACCCCCTTGAGTGGTGGGTTACCACCTTCACACACAGCAACCGGATCCCAGCCTGCAGTCAGTGTCAGCCAGCTCCCAACATTGGGGTGCTGTGCCAAAAACAAGCAAAAAAAAAAAGTCCATCTACTACCAACCAAGACAACACAACCTTCCCAACTATCATCAATATAGTGGTTCTCTCCCAGGAATAAGGCCAAAAGAGGTGGGGGGAAATCCCCAATGCTCTCTGAAGGCCAGAGATGCATAAACCACCGGGGCACAGACAGGCTGGGTCCCTGCAGCCTCCACGAAGGAAGCACATTTGTCCCGCTGGTCATGTCCATGTCATAGCTGCCTCGTCCATGCCTCGACAGGCAGGCGTGTCTGAAGCAGCCATCTCTTTGAGAAGATAAAGCACAGCTGAGTCACCTCTGACCTGGGAGATAGGAGACTAGTGACTCTGACTGGGACATCCCAGACCTGAGCCCAGGTTTGCCTTCTGTGAAATCACACTCCTTTCAACTTTGGGACTCTGTCGTTCTATAAAATCCGACAGGCACTGACAGGAGCCATCAGGGTGATCGGAGCCCAGAGCCTGGAGCAGAAGGACTGCCTTTCCCTTTACGCCTCTGGGCTCCGCGGAAGGTGTGCTCACTCTCAAACTCCCTGACTGTGCAAAAGGCCATCCCAGAGGCTTTGGGGATTTCACCGTCTGATGCACCAGGTCTGTGACCAGGGTCCCAGTGAGTATACCCGGTACTTGCCTGGTCCCCCTTCAAAGCTGAGATGGGGCCACGCAAATGACAACTGAATTTAATTTCTCTGTTGTTTCTGATGCCGAGTGCATGGAGGCGTTCCATTTCGGATTACGTCACTCTGCTCACAAACGTGAGCACTGGGGACTCTCGGGACAGGTGCATGAGAGGCAGCTCCCTCTGCCCATGGTCTGCAGGCTGGGTCACCGCTGGCAGGTTAAACCAACATGTACGTTCCTTGGGGTGTGAGTGCAGGGGAGGTGACAACTTACATGGCTCCTTTTGCCTTCCTCGTCTCCCACAGATGTGATAACGGTCTCTGAAAACACGGTCTGTCCAGTCTGGTTGTTGGTTATCTACAGTGGAACGGGCACAGGGAAAGTTAAATAGAAGGAAGCCCGGGCTAATCCCACATGTTTTTTTCGTTTCATTTTTGCAAGCAGGATCACCCAGTAAAGTCATCAGAATGCCCACCCCGCTTCTTCCTGCGTTCCACTAGCAGCTGGGGACGGAAAGCTCCCCTCGTGCAGAGATAAGAGGTATTAGCAGAGCTGCACCACAGGGTTGCTAGGAGCGGGAAATGAGGTGATCCGTGGAAAGCACTCAGCACAGTGCCTGACACCCAGCAAACGCTCAGCAACATCTGCTATTTTTATCACTCTTGGGGCTCATCCCTTAAAACTCAATGTCAATTTGCTTTCTGACAAATTGCAAGTCTGGGCGTCCAGACGCACATCTTTCATGAGAAGCAAGCAGGTTTTAGCTACAGCAGTGCTACTCCTGATTCTGGTGAAGTTTCATTGCAGGAATAAAGTGCTTAAGTCCAGTGGGAGACTTGTCCCCATATTCCTCCCTCTGGTGTCTGCCTCCAGTTCTGCTCCTGCTGCCCTGTCCCTGCCATGGCTTCTACTCAGGCCCTTTATTTCTCATGAGATCCCAACACAATCTTAGATCTGGAACACTCTAAATCTGTTCCCTCCAGGAACCAAGATCATATCTCACCAGGCACCTCAAAGCTAAGCGTGACGTGGAACCCAGGCCATTCCTGCCCCGTGAAGGGCCGTGTCTAACATGTGCCCTGGTGGTGAAGGAGAGAAAAGACGCCGGCCCAGGAGCTAGGAGGTGTCGTCCTTTGAGCTCTGGCTCAGTTACCAACAACCACCTAGTATGTCATCCGGAACGAGTCGTTTCTCTTCTCTGATTCACAATTTTCTCTTTTCTACATCTTCTTTAAAGTCCCGGCCAGCTCTAACATCACAGGCGTCTGCAGCCAGGACAAAGTGGAAACTCTTGTTCTGATTTGCAGTAGGGGATGCAATTCCAGCTCTGAGGAGGTCAAGACCACGTCCTTATACCATGCTTTTGAATTTTTACCTAAATAATTCCTCTCCCCAGAAAAGAGACGATGTCTTCCTTTATGCTATCTTTTTACAGAATTAACCAATGTCATATTTTTTAAAATTCTACAGGCCTATATACGCATGGGTTGTGAGACTTCTCAGAGTCTTTATTATACCAATATGCATTTTTTTTTAAATTTCTAGGGGGAGAATATATACAATGTTTTCCAAATATGTTTCACGACTACCGACCCCTCTTCCCTGAAGCATGGCACAGGACTGTTACACCACGGAACCCACTTGAGAGCTACTGTATTGTAACAGCACAACTTTATTATAATGACAACAACAATAACAAAAACACTTGCTTTTGCATAGTGCTTTATAATTGACAATGGGATTTCCTGTACTTTAGGTCATTTGACCCTCACGGTGCTGCAGAGTAGATGTTGGCGTCCCTATTTCCTAAATGCAGTTAGTGAGAGTCAGTAAATTTAAATAATTTTTCAAAAATCACACTAGTTCCTGGTAGGACTCACACTCAGGTATTCGGACATCTACAAGGAGCAACTTTAAGAAGGAACCAAACCTGTTGCCTAATTATTGTCAGAAAGGATGACTTAATATTGGTTTTGACAAGAACAAAATAATCACTTTTGGAAACATTCTGCAGTCTTTGGGGTGAGTAATGCTAAAGGATTATGCTCAGCAGGTGAACTCATTCATCTACCTGGAGGGATGCACTCTAGCTGAGCCGTCACTGTACAGTGGGAGAAGTACCCCACAAGGCTATGGCACATAAAAACTGACCCCATTACGCTCTGGGCACAGAAACACCATTGTTTCAACCAAGTAATTACCTGGGCATTTGAACAAATACAAGGCTCTTTCATGAGAGCCATCGTGGCCTTGCATACAGGAGCTGAGATGAAACTGGAGGTGAAGCTCCTTGATATTCACAACAGCACATCGGCTCTACAGCCTCTAACCACGACCCTGAATCTCTGCGTGGCAGACACAAAGAGAACACAGGCTCACATAGCTTGCTGCCAAATTGCATCGGGGACATCTCACACCAGGGCAGGCTAATGCTATGTTGCTTTATATTTACAACGTTTTTTTCATCGGGTAAGACTGAGAATGAACCTGCTTGTTCCTCATGGAGGATGTTAGACCAAGAGACACATGGGCATGTCGTAGGGTGGGAAATGCTACAGAATTTTGAACAGATAATCAGCAAACAAATAAATGTTTAATCTTGTGGCACAGAGGGTTTTCCCTCTGAAAATGGAGTATTTCATATTTACATTCCTCCTGAGAAAACATGAGGATCGATTCACCACAACAGGGTCTCTATTTCAACTCTCACTGAGACATACATAAAATCCTATGAGATAAATTCCTCAAATTCTATACTAGGAAAGTATCTCTCTGGACATCATTTTTTTTTCTTTTTTTTTTTTATTTCAGCATATTATGGGGGTACAGATGTTTAGGTTACGTATGTTGCCCTTGTCTCCCCCCTCCCCCCCAAGTCCGAGTTTCAAGCGTGTCCATCCCTTGGATGGTGCGCATTGCACTCTTTGTGTATGCACATACCCGTCCCCTGCTCCCCCTCCCCCCTGCCTGACATCCAATAGATGTTATTCTTATATGTACACTTATGTGTTGATCAGTTAATACCAATTTGATGGTGAGTACATGTGGTGCTTGTCTTTCCATTCTTGGGATACCACACTTAGTAGAATGCGTTCCAGCTCTATCCAGGAGTATACAAGAGGTGCTATATCACCATTGTTTCTTAAAGCTGAATAGTACTCCATGGTATACATATACCACATTTTATTAATCCACTCATGTACTGATGGACACTTGAGTGGTTTCCACATCTTTGCAATTGTGAATTGTGCTGTCTAGACATCATTTGCTTCCTTTTTTCAAATGATAAAAATCCTTGAACATTCCTTTGCAATTGGACTGGCAGAAAGCCTTGGGTTAAATTTATTGCTTAAATGCAAAAGCGATCTAGGTTCCTGATGCATATCTCTCCACTTTTAAACAGTACCCTCACTCCCTATGGTTTTTAATTTGTATTTTACCATTCTCATTTGCATTTTTGGCTTGTGTATCAAATATGCAAATAAGACCTTAGTTCTCTGATAGGACTGGGCGCTACAGAAAGAAAGAAGTGTTGCCTATGACTGCCCTTACCTTGTGAATTTCTCGGTGCATATGGATGGTATTGTTTCCAATCTTGGTGTCTGTGTTGGTTTCATTGTGATAGCTGGGAGGTAAGCTTGCCAGGTTCACTTCTGATGACGTTTTAGCAGCAGCTTCCTCTGCCTCCATCTATTAGATCAATGAATTTAACGAGCAAAATTATTTTCTCTTGTTACAAATGAGAGTCCATTAGGAAAACAAAACCCCATCTCTCTTTTCCTCTTCTGCAATTACAGAGAGTGGGGATAATGATAGCTACCATTAATTGAGTAATCACTAGGACAAGACATTATACTAAATGTTTTACATAATATTATAGCCCTGAAATTTCACAACCTCCTTAAGAGATGGGTGTTAATGTCCTCATTTTACAAATAGGGAAACTGAGGCTCAGGAAGACTAGATAAATTCCCAAGGCTCCCAGTGAAGGGCGGAGTTGGGATTTGGACATGTTTGCACTAAACAGTCTTGGCCCCTGTGTAAATGCTGTTGGTGTCTTCCCCGCTCCTGGTGGCCTAATCCAGAGGTCACCTGCATCCAATTCCCATACATGCCAGCAACTGACTCTGTCTCTCTCTGAGGGCATTCTCTGGCCACAGAAGCGTGCTCAGTCTGCACAGGCCCCCAGTGCTAGGGAGGGACAGGCTAAGCAGGTAAACACCCCAGCTTCGCCTCCCCTTGCAAAATAATTCTAAAACAGGTAGAATCTATGCAGTCTTTCTCCGAGGCCCCCAGGAGGACTAAGCCCTAGATGCCCACAGCAATAAGCTGCCCATGAACATACCCTTTCTTTTCTTTCTTCCTTTTCATCTCATGTTCCCACTTTCTGCTAGTGTTTTCTGGGATCACCTCCTTTTGTTGCAGTGTCTTGTGGTGGTGGTGGCAGGGGGACACAAACTAGGACAGTTCCTTTTTCCCTGCAGTTCCCTACCTGCAGGGAATAAGGTGTCTTGTTCCCTACCCCACCTCTTGGGTACCCTTGTAGGATACCCTTGCAGAGGGACTCTTGTAGAGGGTCAGCTGACTAGTTCCAGGGGTCCACACCCCTCTGACTCTCCTTGAACGCATGTCCTTCTCCAGTGTCAGGTTTCTGAGGTCACTGTCCCAAAATCCTCTAGTCTCATGAGCCTCCATGTCCTTTATACCAGATATACCAGTCAATTCATGTGGGCACCCAACTTGCCCTTCCAAATTTACCACCCTTCCCTAGCCCTGATGAGTGGGCAGTTGACAATGTGACCAGCTCACAGCTGATTGGACCCAAAGGGAGGCCACATCATTCCAATCAGATGAGCCAATCAGATACTCTCTCTCTAGGAATCTAAAATAAGAGACACAAAGTGAAGTTCTAGCTGATAGTTGGCAATTTTCCAACCCTGCTATCTTTGGGCTATTTTTATTCTTTAAAACTAATCCTCAAAAAGTATGTCCCTATTTTTAAAAAATCACCATCCTCTATCCCCTTAAGTACTAGATGAGTCTCCTCTTTCTCCACCTCCCCCAGTCAGACTCGCCAAGCTGGGGTGGATACAAGGAAAGAATCCCCGCTTCTCAGTGCAGCACAAGGGCACTAAACTAGGAGCATCCGGAAAGGCAGGTAGGCACAGAGGCTCAGCTAATCAAACAAGGACTTGGTCAGCGATGCCGCGTCCACAGTGCTGTGCTTATTCTGAGAGGATTGCTGAGATGTTTGAAACTTGATTACTGGCTTCATAATTATAATAACAACCCCCATGTTTGGGGCATTTGCTATGTCTGAGCCATTGCACCAGAGGCCTTGAAAATTCACGGCAATATTATGAGGACGGTGTTATTACAGAGTCATGCCCAAAACTTAAAAAAATATACACACTTGGATCCTTTCCTAGACCTGCTGAATTGGAATTTCTGGAGATGGGCCCTCCAGATATCAATGAGCTTCTGAGATCATTCTGAGGATTTCCCTCCCCTCCAGCTGCCCCCAGTTAAGAATCTCTGCTCCAGGCAATAGGGAGATGCAGCAAGTTCTAGAAGACTAGCTGGAAAATAATATAGAAAGTAGGAAAGGAAGAGGTGAAGTCAGGGAACTAGATAGAAGTAGGTCTAGAAGGCAGCTGTGTCTGAAGAGGGGCTCTCTAGGTGGCAAATAAGTCTAGAAGGACCAAGCCACTGTGAGGTGGTCACCGGATTAGACAGGTAGTTGCCTCCAGCACCATCAGAAGGTAACACAGTAGAAAATACCAGGATGGAGTCAGATGAGGTGGGTTCAAGTCCTGCTCTACCACATGTGACCTTGGGCAAGACACTAAATGCCTCTAAGCCTCAGCTTGCTCATCTGTAAAATGGGGATGATCCTACTTTGTTGAGTGGATGCAAGAATTAAGAACCATGAAATCCAAGCGCTTGGCATACTACCTGCCACAGGCAAAGATGTAACACCCAGCTGCTTTCATAATATTGTCCCTTAAGAAGGCAGTTTTAGGAGAAGCCGGTTTGCCAGAGTCCCGGAGGGAATGGGTAGAAGTCGGAAGAGCAGGCAGTAGATACCATGCATTTGAAGAGTTTGCCAACGAAATGGAGATGAAATGGAGCTAAGATAGGAGAAAGAATCGGCAAGAAAAGAACTTTATTTTTTTTTAAAGCGAGAGCCCGTGTCCCAGCTCCCACTTGGGTTAGTGTCAAGAAAGATACATCTGACAGGAGACAACTGAAGATGCTGGAGAGGACCCACCAAGAAGGAGAAGGGAATGTTCATGTTTTTAAAATTTCCATCGGGATCTGAATCCTACAGTTTGGCTTTGAAATCATTGACAAGTTATCAAATATAAAGTTCGCTCTGGGTTTTATAAGACCTTCCCCCCTCAGCCAGTGGTTATTTCAACAGAATGAGCTAACAGTTCTTTAACGGCACCATGAACTGAAAGTACAGTTTACAGTGGAAATTTCAACCACAACTATTACTGCCACTAGTAAGAGAAACTTAAGCCTGAAGCAAAAGGAGCTGTTTTTCATAGAGGAGGAATGTGAATGCTATTAAAAATAGCATTTATAGTTGGTTGAATCTGTGTGTCTGTTAAAGGGGCATAGTAGGAAAAATTGGAGCGATAAATGCAGGCTTGGTAGTGGGGTTCTTGCTAGGAACAGGTGAGGCAATAAGAACAGTCTAAAATATGCCAGTTACAGACCTGGCAATGAGGGCAGGAGACACAGTGGTTTTATCCTCAAAATACATTTATTATTAGAGTAACATATGCAATAATAAAACAGGAAAATTGGAATATGTCAGACAGAAGCCATTTGAAGATTTGCTGCTCCCAATAATGATTCTACAAGAAGACTGCTCTGTCTTTCCCATTAAGAAACATCAACAGCTTGAGTCAGCTGGAGTATTTAAAATGCCAGGAAGTTACTTGAAAGCAGATTCATGATACAACTATGTAAACAATTAACACATCTGGCCCAGGTCCTTTTTGGTTTTTCCCTTGGACAATAACTAAACAACAACTATCCTGTGCTTATGAGATTTAAGGGGCTTTCTGGCAGTCTCTTAAAAAAATTAATACTAATAGCCACATTCTACTTTTTGAAGATATTTTAAAACATAGTTTTAATATTTTAGGCTTAATTTTTAACGTTTTAAAACATAGGTTCTATTGAGAATCTATCAGATACTGATGGTGTTTCCTTATTCTTTCTACTACTACTAACATTATGATAATGACAACTATTACTTATTGAGGACCAACAATCTCGTAATCCTTACAACAACCTCATGAGGAGGCTACTTGTAGTACACCTAGTTTCCTTAACTCCAGTTTAAAACATCAGATAACTTGCTTCATTCACATCCTCCCATTTACTTCCCCCTTTACCTTAAGGGGTGGACATTTTCTCCATTTCAGACTCTGATCCTACTGCTAGTAAGTGGCAGAGATGGGACTCGATGAATGAAGATTGATCCATTCTCCTGCCATGAAGATGTTCAACCTCTCTCATCCTGTACCCACTGCCAACGGGGAAATAACCACTCTTTGGGAAATGACCACTGACTGGGGTAGATGTGACAGCCAATGTCTCCCCTGGTGGCAAACTTCAGCCTGCCTAACTATACAACTCAGGCAGAGCTACGTCTGGAGGGAGGAAGGCTGGGATCCTGGCAAAACCTAACATGGATAACTCCCATGGAGAAGGCACTGTCACTAAGGTCCCGCTGGCCCCAAACTGCCCTGTTCAATGAAGAGACTGAAGAGGCTATTGCTGCTCCCTCTGCTCCCTTATAGGAACTAACATCAGAGGACCCTGCTGCCAACTTTTTGAGCAGTGGTGGGCACTTTCCCACTGAATAAAGACATGGAGGTGACCTCGTCAGTCTTACAGGGAATCCGTGTGCAGAAAGGAAAGTCCTAGAACCCAGATAAGGAAAGCAAATGGCCTGCCCGAGAACCACAGAATCACAAGACTAACTTAATTTGAAGCTGCAGGGTTAAGAGACATTGGGGCCTATCTGACTCCCTTCACCTTTTAATTGTTCCATGCCATGACTACTTTGCAATCACAGGACACAGAAAGGTCCTGGGTCTTGGAATCGGGCCCTATCCAGTGGATATTCAGGTACAGCTGCCCCGGTTGCTGCCTCCCAATCCAGTGTCCCCTTCAGTGCACACTCCACCAGGTTGCCTGTTGTGGGGTAGCAGGGGAAATATCCCCAAACTACACAGGGCTCAGGGGAGAAAGCAACTTCTCCCCATAGACAAGAGCCAGCATTTAAGGCGTTGCTCACGGGGGCTACCAGATTGGAGACAGCATGAACGTGGAGAAACCTGACCTACCAGCCTGGACATCTGGGCTCTTACTGACTCCTTCGTGGGGATGGCTGGCTCCTCTCCAAAGACAGACTACAGCAACCATGCCTACCCACCCCAGGCCCCAGGGACAGCTCCCCACATCTGGATGGAGAGGGCTGGGCCAGCTGCACCTTCTGCCCAGGGAGCCCTCACCACACCTGGGTGCCCACTGTAGAAGACCGAACAGGATGCCATCCGCAGTGTTTGGTCCTGGGAGGGGATGGAAGGAAGAAGCCAGGCCAAGCTTTGCCAATGTATCTGCTATCTGATAATAAATATCTGCTAAATATGCACACCTATTATGTGCCAGGTGCCCACACTTATATCAATGGCATTTAATTCTCATAGGAGACTAAGGTTCGGGATGTTAAATCATTTGCCTGATGTCACCCTTCTAGTGAGTGGCAGAGGAGGACCTGAGCCACTCACTAGAAGGGTGACTGACACTGGGCAAATCTGACTGCAAATCACTCCCGGGTGGAGGTGGGGTTGCCTCCCTCTCACATTCTCACCTACACTCCCACAGTGCTGGGGTTTGAGATTTTGATCTCAATCTTCCTTCTCTGTCCCCACATGGCATTAGGAGAAGCAAGACAGCCCAGACAGATTGCCAGCAAAGCTCAGGGCTCTTTGACTCTTTATCCCCACATGTTATCCTAATTGTATCTTGGGAAGATGGCACAAGCTCAAGGCGCAAAAGACAAGCTAGAACTTGGAGATATCTGGAGCTTCCTCAGGCTCTCTCCAAAACCACAGCGCTGGAATCTCAAGGGCCTTGCAAAACATCTGCTTATAACAGGGGAAGGCCGACTGCATGTTTGAAGACATTTGCAGGGTGGTGGTAGGCAGGTGGTGACCCCAGCTACCCAGGGAGTGTCCAGCCGGAGACTCCCGGTGCACAGGCTGCGATCCAGTCCTTTGGACAGGGAGGCAAAACGAGCAGGGAGTTGGGACAACCCTGCACTGTCTCCAGGTCACACCGTGTCTGCTGCTGGCCTGAGGTCCGCCTGCCTCCCCAGCCCCTGCTCCCCCTAGCCTTGCGCTTCCCGGAGCCTGGCACCCTCAGGGCGCACCCACCTCCTCCACCGCGCTGCGCAGTTTGTGCTGCGTGTCCTCCATCAGTTCCTCAACCTCGCGGAACATCTCGTTGAGGGTGGCCTCCTCCTGCGGGTAGCTGAGAGCCGGGCCGGGCTCGACGGGAGTCGAGGTCGCCGTCAGAGCGGGCGCGGGGGCCGTGGGCAACGCCGCCGCCAGCAGCAGGCACAGTAGGGTGCCCCGGAGCCGCCGCATCTCCGCTCTGTGCCCGCAGCCGCCGCCTGTGTGTCCCGGAACACAGTCAGAGGCGCGCGGACCACCCCCCTCGCCAGCCCCGCCCGCCGCCCGCTCCAGGCGCCCCTTTCTCCCTCCCCTGCCCCCAGATGGGACGAAACCCAGTCCCCTCAGGACTCGGATCCCCTCCCCGGAACAGAGGCGCCCCCCCACGCTCCAGCCCCGCGCCCCCGCGCCCCGATCGCCTCCGTACCCGCCACCCCCATCCTCGAGCACAGGCTGAGCTCCGCTCCTCGCCCTCAATGCTGTTGCTCTCAGGAGCAACGGAACCCGGGTCCCCCACGCTAATACCCCCGCGGCCCCCCTCACCCCAGCTGCGTCTCGGGGTCCAGCCCTGGCCCCTCCGCGAGCAGGTCAGAGTGCCCACCTCACTCCCACCCCAAAGCCTTTCTAGCCCGCATCTGGGGTGGGCAGAGCACAGGTCAGCCCCCTCCGCTCCGGGTCGGATCCGAGTCAGCGCCCCGCCCTGCACCCATCCGGGGTGAGGCTGAGCTGAGCCGTCGTCCCGCCGCCCGCGACCCGCCGCGCCCCTCACTCACCTGGAGCCGACCGCGCTGCGCTGCGCTGCGGGCTGGATGTGTCTGCGCTCACCCGGAGGCCGTGCGGGGCTGCGGGAGCAGGAGCGGGGCGGTGGGCGGGCCGCAGGGCGGGCGCGCGGCGGGATGCGGCAGCGCTGGTACCCGGGCGAGCGAGCGAGCGAGCTCGCAGCCCGCGCCCCGCCTGCCCGCCAGGCTCCCGCCCCGCCGAGGGGCCTCCGCCGGCCATTGGCCAGCCCGGCGCCCGCGACCTCACGCCCCACGCCGGCCTCTCCTGCCTCCGCGACCCGCTCTGCGGACGGCCATCTCCCTCCCTGCATCCCGCCGCCCCGCCGCATCCCAGACACTGCCATCTCTGGCCTCCAGTCCCGCAACAGCCCACCGAGGCGGGGGCGAGGTGCCTTCCTGAGTCCCACCTTGCCCTGTCCAAGCCAGCCTCGTGCAATCCTGCAGGAGAAAACCCCAGCCCTCAGCCTGGCGTTCAAACCGTCACAGGTTGGCCTCCGTCTGTCTGTCGTGATTGTCTGCCCCAGCTGGGTTAACCCACTAGCAGCTCCCGGAATGGGGCTCGAGAATGCCAGCAAGCTCCTTCAGGTTGGCAAGCACAGTGGTTAGGACCAGACACCTACAGCCAGCTCTGCCCCTTCCTGCCTCTGCACCCCGGCCAAGTTCCAGAGTGTCTGTGTTGTTAGCCCTGATGTAAAACGGAGGCGACAGCGGTGTGCTACCTCGCCCTTAGCATAATGCATGCAGAACAGTGTGGGCGCACGGCAATGGGATGTAAGTGACAGCTTTCATAATGAAAGCAGAACTTCGCCTTACAGCAGTCTCTCCAGTGCCTAGGACAGGGGCACTCAGATATTATTTTAAATAAACAGGTTGTTTTCTCAGACCTTCTCCTATTTTCTCATATTCCTCTTTCTGTTTGGCTATTCCTCCCTGGTCCCCTGAGCCTGACTAGCTCCTCTGCATTTCTCAGGATTCAGAGCCTCTCCTGGCCTTCCCTCCTCTCCTCCCCATCACCCCTCTAGTTCCCTGTGCTGCCCCATCACAGCCCTGACCATGGTGTCTCTTTGCTGGCCCATTTCCTCCCAGGGACCAGGAGCTCCTAGGAGGCAGGGACTGATTTGCTCACCTTTGTGTCACCAGGGCCTCAATCATACACACTCAGTCCCTGAGACAGGGATGGGCTGATCATTTTATCAATAGCTATTGATATATCAATACATCAACATCATTACTGAGCACTCCACTGTGTGCCAGGCACAGGTATTAATTCATTGAACTCTCAGCAGCTCTATGCGGTTGGCACTGCTACTTTATTCCAATTTTATAGATTAGGACTTTCCAAAGGTCACACAGCTAGTAAGTGATTGAACTGGGATTTGAACACAGGGGTCTGGCTCCAGAGGCTTCACCCTTACCTGCCGCACTCTTCTGCTATAACCCTGGCTGGGAGGTGCCTGAGTCAACCTGGGAATATGAGATGAGCAATTTCCATAGGTGACAACTCAGAAAACCTGTGTCTAGGGACCATGGTCACTTTTTCGTGTTCATAGACCTGAGTCCACAGCAGAGTGTCAATGTGGAGGAAGCATATTTGGGGCCTTCTGGCATCAGGCACTGTGCTCACCACAACTGCATGAGAGAGGGATCATTGCCCCATTTTATACAGGCGGGCATGGAGACTTGGGGAAGTGGGTGACCAGGCCAAACGGCAGGTAGGCGGCAGGGCTGGACGTAGACCCTGAGTGTAGCTGACTCCAGAGTCGTGCTCTTAAGCCTTATTCCTCATGACTGCCTTTCTCTGCAGCACTGTTCACATTCCTATTTGTCGCCAAGATATGCTCCCAGTCACTTTCTCTTCAATTTCTGGGCCTCTGAGGTGGGGCGCTCCTGTTCTCCAAGGTAAGCCCCTTGCCCTCAGCATCCCCTGCTCTGGCCACCCTGGCTCAGCCATTCATTAACATTCTGGGGGGTGCTGAGCCCATGCAAGGAACCTAGAGCTCAGTCTCCAGATGTCCCAGCTTGTCACTCCAGGCACAGTATACATTGGCCAGAAACTAATGCTAGACTGGAGGGTATTGCCAGGGGGCACGTTCTGGGACCAAGCCAGGAACCACAGAGGTGCAGATTTACAGAGCACACCATGCTCCACCAGTCCTCCATGCTGCTGGCTCAAAAGACCAGGAATGTCCCCAGATAAAACTTGCCTTCTGCCTTAGGTCTTTCGCTGTGGGGTCAGGAGGTCTGGACTTGCAGACTGAACTGAAAAAACAAACAAACCAAAGAACTGTGGAGCTGCCCCAAGTGCCAGTGAAGGGCTATGTATTTTCCTGGGTGGGGTCTGAATTTTATACTCCCAAATGTAGGAAAGAAAAAAGAGACTGAGAGAAAGAGGGAGAAAAAAGAAAAGGCAAGGAAATCTACAGACCTCAAATAGAAGTGCCCTCCCTGCCCGGCATCATGCCAATCCTGTCACCAGCCTGAGGTATTCACAGGCTATAAGGAAAGGCACTGTGCCCGCTGCAGAGATGGGCCCCAACCAGACCCATACAGGGTGCGGGCTCCAAAGGGCTTGGGGTGGGGGTGAGGGAAACCCAGGGAATTTAAGGACTGGTTAGAGAAATGGTGACAGTCTGGACAGCCATTGCTGAGGGACCCAGGGACATAGAGCAGGCAGAGGGTCCAGAGCCGTCCAGGTCAATCATTTCTAGAGCAAGGAACATTCCAAAATTCCACGATTTCCATTATATCGCTGGCTAAGCTCCGTATCCACCAGGGGCACCTGTTCTTTTTTCTTGTAGGGTATTGGAAACATTTTCTGGAATTATTATTTAAAAATTCTAAGTTCTCACGTTTTCTCTATGCAATATCTACCGAGTCATAGCTGGGTTCCATTTCATGGTTGAGGAAGCGCAGCAGAACTTGCTGAAAATTGCCTAGAAAGTGGCCACACAGCAATTTCACATCTAGCTGCCCATCCCCCAGAAACGCATGACCACGTGCCTAAGGAGACACGTACGAAGATGTTTATTGAAGCAATATTTACAATGGCAAAAATGTGAAAACCACTTATCAGTGTTTTTCAGCAGGAGAAAGGATTAACTGGGGTTTCTACAAGCAATAGAATAGTTAAATAGTATTGTGCAGTTAAAGTCATGCACAATATTTATAGGCAACAAGATCACTACATCCCCAAAACATAATCTGGAATGGAAAAGGCAATTTTCAAAATGATATGTATAGGCTACTATTTCTGCATGTTTTAAAAGTATACAACAATGGCATATATTGTTTAGGATATATTGTTTAGCTATACATATAATAAAAAATACAGAAATACGCAGGCTGCCTCTGAGGTGGAGGTAGAGAAGGAGTGGGGGACGCCTTTAGTCATAGTTATAGTTACTTATAACATTTTATTTCTTTAAGAATGAGAGTGTACCAGCATGGAGGAATTCTGAAGCAAAAGTGTCCAAATATTCACTTCTGTTTAATCGTCACAGTTGGTTAATGACCTGAGGGTATATGGGTGTGTCTGTTTTTATTATTTTTGATATATTTGAAATATTTAGTGAATAAATTAATAAATAAAAGCAAAAGGCATCCCTCCCAAAACAAGACAGAAAATACAACCAAATAAAACCTCTTGTACCTGAGAAGACTTTTTTCTCAGATCTGTTCCTGAGAGAGATGCTGACCTCCCTGAGACCCAGCAGCGGCCTCCATTACTGTGGGGGGAGGGCAGGGCGCACCCTAGGAGGGGCGTTTCCTCTTGGGGAAGGCTGTCTGTCTGCCTCAGTGGTTAGGTGCCTTCCTGCTCCAAGTCGGAGCCTGCTCTGGCCGGGAGATGGGACTAATCTGGCAATTCCTCCCCAGGGCAGGGAACGGTACTCCAACAAGGAAACTTCAGATATCTGGAACCTATGGACACTGAGTCTGGATAGACTATTGATTTTTAAAACTTTAACCATTCTGAAAACTTAATTAGACAAGGGAAGGGTTTATTACACATTTCCTTCTCTTTTTTTCTCTCCCTTCCATCTTAAACAGACTACATGGACTGTAACTTGGAAAAAAATGTGAAGAGTTGTGATCAGAGATAACATGTCTGCACAGCCTTTGGCATCTGTTTTCCCTGCTAGAGCACAGGCCACGTGGGATTGCACATGATGCTCGTCCCTGTGACCCTCTCCAGGGCAGCCCAGGGCCTGCCGAGAATGAGCACTCAGGAAGGATGTGCCGAATGGGTGCAGGCCTGCTGGGGCCGATGTCCCAGGCCTCGAGGAATGGAAAGTGCCACAAGGAAACAGGTGACTAGACAATGACAAGACAGTAAGATGGAGCAAAAGACAAGGAGAAACTGGCAGCCAGAGGAAGGGAGGGCGAAGAAAAGAGTAAAAGTTGACTTTTTTCAGAATTTTCAGAATGCCTGGGAAGCGTGTCCATCCCTGGCCTGATTAACTATGCTGCAGACGGGAAGTGAAGTGGTGTCAGTACAAGCAACCACCTCACTTGATTGGACCAAGGATGGACATTGACTAAAGCTTGCACCATCAGATTCTTTCCTGGATTTTGAGGCTAAAGAAACCATTCAACTGAGGAAGAGAGAAATTTTGAGAAGAGTCCATGAGCCTGGTGGGTAGGGAGGGTGATAGGAAGAAAGTAGCTGCTTCATTCCACAATGTCATTCTGGTTCTTGGTTCTAGTCTTTCATGCACCCTTCTGAGATCCAGCTGCACCATCTGCCCTATAAGATGGTAAGATTTTTTTTTAATTCTTCTCATGTACTTCCCTTTTTGTTTGAGCTGGGTTTGGTAGCTTTCTGTTACTGTCTATCAAACTGCCTTAACTTAAGACACCGACCATTCTTGCAAATGTCTGGGTTGGGTCAGCCTATATTTTAATGAGGCAATCCTCTTCAAGGGAGATCTGCTTTAGAGGAAGTTACTGCCCTCTCCCTGAGACCCTCGAGTAAGAAAAAGAGGGCCAGAGGGCCACCAGGTCCTACTGACGGGGAAAAGTCACCAGGAGCACCTCCCCTTTGTCAGCCAACCCCTGGCCCCACCAATGTCATGCAGCCTTCCCAGCTCCTGCCTGTAACTTGCTATTGTTCTATGGAAATTGGTGCCAAGATTTTTCTGAGGGGAAATTCCATCCGGTTTTGGAAAGAGTGTTCACGTGGACTCAGGGTTTCCATGAGTAATTGCCACCAAATATCCAAAACATACATTTAATTTTCCAAGTTTCTGTGGGTGGGTGAGCAAAAGACACCCAGAGGACCATGGTCTGGCCATCACCCTTGGAACACAGCACGGGGGGACGAGCCTCAAGCCTGGCTGTCTTGTTTTCTTATTTAGCAGGTGGCTCCACATGCCCTGGATATTGTTGTACATGTGTCTGAAGTGGAGGATGACTAAGGAGGGAGAGAATTCTGGCAGAACCAGTGCCAAAAAAGGAAGAGCAAAGAATTGATGCTGTTTGGCAACTATGGAGGAAGAATATCTAGAAGTGTGTTTC